GTATAAAAATATGTAATACTATATAATATAATATTTGTAAAATATGTAATACTATATAATATAATACTACAAGTATTTTAATATAAAATACTACAAGTATTTATATAAAATATTATACTATAAAAGCTTCTCATAGTATACTGTAAAATACTTTGTAATATACCATGAAAGCTTCTCAAGTATATAAAAATATAAAATACTATATAATATAAAACACTATAAGTATTTTTATATGATATTAAAATATGAAATACTATGTAACATAATACTACAAGTATTTTAATATACAATACTATAAGCATGTGTGAAACCATAAAAGCTTCTCACAGTATACTATAAAATACTTTGTAATATACCATGAAAGCTTCTCAAGTATATAAAAATATAAAATACTATATAATATAAAACACTATAAGTATTTTTATATGATATTAAAATATGAAATACTATGTAACATAATACTACAAGTATTTTAATATAAAATACTATAAGCATGAGTGAAACCATAAAAGCTTTTCAAGTATATAAAAATATAAAATATAACAATCTTATATATATATATATATATATAACACTACAAGTATTTTAATATAAAATACTATAAGTACTAATCAATTAACCAAGTGATTATCTCAATTCAATCACATGTCTTATTTCCCCAAAGATATTAATCACAAGTACGTTGCATGAACTACAAGTATCCAATAATTTCACGAAGCATACGAGAGGATCGTAAAATTGATTTATATTAAAAATCAACTATAATTATATATTTACGTTCAAAATTGCACGTACAATTACATTTACATTCTCAAATCAAATTGAAATCAATTACCATTCGAATTGACGAAATTAATTGAAATTAACGAGCAATTCAATTTAAACTGGAATTAACAACCTGTAGATTTGGAACGTAATCTCGGCTACAAGCGTGTACTTTGTTAAATCTCGTTTCGCGCGCCATGATACACGCGCCGTTTATGAGATAAATTAATATCGTCGGAGTAGTTGCAGTAGACGTCGTGGAAGTGGCGTTTGAATCAAGTTTTGACTAACGTGCAGCTTCATACACTTCAGCGAGGCAAACTTCGCAACAGCGTTTTGTTCATGCGTCCGTTTACATCGACATCGTGAAATTTCGATTTTTCGACGTTAAGGAAACCCAATTATTCGATTGATTAATCCTTCGACAACGAGCACGTGTGCGCCTCGACGCGCAATTCGCGTATAACTATTTTTATCATATTTTTCAAATTCTTAACCATCTGGAAAATAAACTTGTTGTACAACTTTGATAGAAACATAGTTTTGTGTAAAGAACAATTGCGACAGATCTTTAATAAATATTGACAAGACAACGCTTTCACTTGTCATTCACTTTGTAATTTTATGCGTCATTGTACGTCAGATGCATCGAAGAATCGTTTTTACACGTGGCAAGACACAATCGTGGAGCACAGAATTTCTTGGCCTACGGGATTGCTGATAGAATCGGTGGTCGGTGACGGGCCAGACAATCCGTATTACATTCGACAGTCCTACACACCGAAGGGTTACGTCAACTCCGAAGGTGATCGTGAGATTAGCAGAAAGTTTCTCAGGAACGGCACCGTTCTGAAGTATTTACACGACGGGAGGGTGATAGTTCTTCGTTCGAACGGGGTAATCGTGACTTGTACCGCGTTTGAGATGCTTGGAAGAAATTACGACCAGGCCAGAGATGGTTCAGGTATTCAGAATTAATTCTCCTTCAGAGGAATCAGTTTCACGTTAATTTTTTTTCTTTTTATCATCGATTAGATTTTGAAGACTTACTTATTTTTTCTATTAATATCAATGCTAACATTTTTATCTCTATTAATAGAATAATTCTAATTGATATTAATTGATATTAATTTTGAAGTATTTCCTAAATTCGGGGTAAAAATTTCGCCATTGCAATTTGTATGGCCCGTGGAAGATTCAAATACTGTATCAAACTTTCTGAATGCATTATCCACGTTTTCATTTTTAAAGGCGACAGACCGAACGAGACGAAAGTCCCGTCCAAAACGAGAAGAAAGCCAATGAGTGGCCTGAGGTCTTCGTTGTTCGAAACCGGCGAGGGAGATCTCGCGTCCGCGCGGCAGAATTTAACAACGGTTAGTCAAGTGTCCGTTAAATATCGTTTTAACCCAAGAAATTCGAGTCTCGCTCGATCTAGCAAGATAAATAAGAGGAAAACGTTTAACCTATCGAGACTCGGCCCTTTTGTCCCGTAGATCGCGTAAATTAACCCGAACAACCTCTCAGAAAATCAAATAAAGTTAATACGTCGACGCTCTCGAAGCCGGCTCGAGAAATACAGATTATTAAATTCAACTGTTTGTTGACCCGAAAGTTCATACGAATTTTCCTCGATCTGAACTCACAAGATAACCTTGCATTTTTCACAATATTAACGTTTGTTAAAACGCAAATCATTACTATCAAAATGTTATCCAAATTTATATATTTTCGCGGACGTGATTGAAAACAGTGTCAAATATGAAATATCGTATTTTTATATGATATTAAAATATGTAATACTATATAATATAATACTACAAGTATTTTAATATAAAATACTACAAGTATTT